AAGCAAAATCAATATATACTTAACACAAAAGTACTTATTTCTTTATTCACTCAACACTGGATATTATGAATTTTATTCTGTGATTTGCATATCTATAATTTCTGCTCATGTTTCTAATATATGATTTGTCTTATTTTGTTGCTTTTCTTGTTTTATGGATCTTAATATTTTATCTATCATATATGTTATAAATATTTTCTCTCAGACTATCTCTGATTTTAATTTTGTTTTCTCTCCCCTGGAAACCCTTCTTACCAACTTTGTTAATAGTATCTGGGAATTTTAGTTACAGATTGTCTTTCTTGGGGAGTTCTTTTTTAAAAAAATAATTCTTTATTGTTGAAAGTATTACATATGCCCCCTTTTCCCCCATTGACCTGGGGGGGGGGTCTTTTTCACATTTTCCTACCAGTTCTCTCTTAAAAATTACTTTAATCTTTATAGCCACATTTGAAAAATGCTAAAGACTTGACTGTAGGTTCTTCTGGTATTCACTTTGATCTAAGTTTTTTGTACTCTACATCTATCTCATCAATTATTTCTTATGCTTTATCTTTAAAAGTATAAAAGCTTAATGAAGATATAGTTCATGTATTATACAATTACCCTTTAAAAGTGTACAACTCACTTTTAGTTATTTACAAAATTGTGCAATGGGAAAAATATCCTTGGGGGAGGATTAACAACAACAACAACAAAAATACAAGACAAGAGCTGAGCTTGTTATCATCCTAGATGTTAAGTGGTTTGCCCAATATTACCTAGCTAATTAGAATTAAAGCAAGGATTTACATAAAAATTGCCTGGCCAGTGTGGCTCAGTGATTAAGCATTGACCTATGAACCAGGAGGTCAGGTTTTGATTCCTGGTCAGGGTACATGCCCAGGTTATGGTCTCGGTCCCTAGTAGGGGGCATGCAAAAGGCAGCAGATCAATAATTCTTTTTCATCATTGATGTTTCTGTTTTTCCCTTTCCCTTCCTCTCTGAAAGCAATTTTTAAAAAATTGATCTGAAGTCATCCCTCTCAACCCACTTAAAATATTTAAATAATTTAAATGATTATTCAATTGAATTTGAGGCAAATGTGAATAGTTCTATATGTGATTTGATTGACACCATATCTTTCAAAAATCATAATCTATTACTTAAAATACAGTAAGATTTCAATTATTCACACAGTAAAATCTGGATTCATAAATAAGACCAAGCAAGACCTAACTTAAAGATTAAAAATCTGAAGTCCATTTGTTAGCCTCAGTGGTTCTGTGAACTCCCTGGAATTCAATGCAAATATGATATGTTGTACTTTTCTCTGGGATTCTACTATTTTCATAAAGAGGTAGGTGGTCCATGTTGGTTAAAATCATAGGTCTGTTATCGGTCTCTCTAAAACTCTAGTCATGTGACAAAGCATTAGGAAAGGAAAACCAATATAGTTTCATGTACAAAAAAAGGTTACAGGCATACTTCATTTTATTGTGCTTCACAAATATGATTTTTACAAACTGAAGACAAGCCCCTCCACCAGCAAAAAAGATTATGACCCACTTTATTGTGATACTCACTTTAATATGGTGGTCTGGAACCGAACCATAATATCTCCAAGGTATCCTGTATTTAATAAATTCATATTTCTTGGAAGAAATTCAGTCATAAATTCAATTAACACTGATCATCTAAAATGATCATTAAGCTAATCATTAGACCCAGGAGAAGTGGCCTCATGTGATTACTTGGTGCAGCGTGGACTTTCTCCCTATTGATGCAGTCATTTGAGCTTAAATCAGACATTAGAGCGGATTTCCAACTGCATGAACATTGAAGGCTCGAAGACAAGGACGCTTCTGAACATGTAATGACCCTCTGACCAACGCAAACCAGTGTCAGCCCCTGTGACAGGTCTCAGTCAGATACTGCAATCTGGGAACTGCTCACTCACACCTGACAATGGAAATTTATCTGCTAAATATAGCTACAGACTGAGATGTCATGGTCTTGTATAACATCTAGGCACAGGCTGGGTCAGAGTCATAGGGGTTGGTATTATTTCAGGAACTACCTTTCAAAAAGCTAGACTGCAACCCTGATGTCTGGTGAGTTAGCAAATTTATATATTTGGAGGAGTCACACTGCCCTGAAACTCCCAGGAGCCTCTATCAGCTCCACCCTCTGTGACTGAGTCCAGACACTCATTCCCAGGAGTAGCTTCTTAATAAATTGGTTACAGAACGATTACGATTTCCATGCGGAAGGATCTCCAGGTCTTTGGCAAAGAGAGTGTGAAGGGTTGGAAAGAGCTGGAGGATATGCGGGAAGGTAGCATTCCTTAAAGTCCAGGATCCTCAGCTATAGAATGCATTTGACTCTGTAAAAGTGAGTGGTACGAAGAAGGAATTTACTCTAAAAGTTTGGATGTTGAGATATCTTTCCTAAGCTTAGAGGAGGAGGATTCTAGAAACTCAGTGTCAGTAGAGACGGTCGTCAGAAGAATGTGAACAATCCCAAAGGAAGGAAGGAAGGCAATGCCTCTGTCCCCAGGAGGGCTCACAGAGATGCCCTGCAGTCAGCTGTTCCTCAGATAGCTCCAGTTCTCTCCAGTCTCTTAAAAATAATACTTCTTAATTTTTATTGAGTGACAATGGGACTAACTGGCCATATTTTGAGGTAAAATAAAGTACCATGGAATTGACACAATACCAAGGTATTGTATGTGAGGAAACCTAACTCTCAGTTTGACATCCATTAGAGAACACATGTAGGAGAGAGGATCTTAGGGGAAAGGCTTCATGTGAACATGGTGGTGAGAACTCTGTGTTCACCAGAGAATCCACACAGGAGAGAAACCATACACGTGTGATATTTTTCACAAAAGATTCATTCATGACTCTACATTGCACGGTCATAAGAAGATCCACATGAAAGACAAAATGTACTGTGGTAAAGATTGTGGGAAATGCTTGGGCTGCAAGGGAATCCTCAGAGCTCGCCAAAGAACCTTCTTAGGAGCTACTAAACCATATTAATATCTCCAGGTGAGCTGGGAAGTATAAATATAATGTGAGCCACAAAGGTGAGCTGCATATATAATTAAAATGTTCTAGTAGCCACATTAAAAATTAACGAGGCAGGGGATTTTAATTTTAATAATGTATTTTTTGTTACTCCACATATCATAAATATTATTTCAATATGTAATCAATATAAAACATTATACATGATATTTTACATTTTTTTGGTGTGTCCTAAGTCTTTTAAATCCAGCATGTATTTTATACTTACAGTACATCTCGATTTGGATTCATTGCATTATAAATGCTCAGTTGCCACCTATGGCTATTGGCCACTGTATTGGCTAATACAGTTTGAAAACTCTAAATGCCATAAAAGAGTCCATTCAGTCACACCTCACATAATTGCACCAACTGATATCACTTAATTAAGCCCAAGTCCTTGTCCTGGCCCCAAAATAAGGTTAACAGTGATTTGTAACCTACTATTATTTTGGATAGCAAATGACAATTTAATACCTGGTAAGCACTTAGGAGAATATGTAGCTTACAATAAATGCGCTGAAGTATTAAAAACCATGACTGAAATATAATCACTTACATAAAAAGGGTAGGGTAATTTGTGACAACATGGGTACATGGCTGAATCTGGAGGGCATTAAGCTAAGTGAAACAAGCCAGACAAAGAAAGACAAAAAATATGGTGTCACTTACATGTGGAATCTAAAAAAAAATAAAAAGAAGGTTGAAATCATAGAAACTAAGAGTACATTGGTGGTTGCCAAGGGCTGGGTGGGAGGGTAGAGAAAATGGAAAGAGGTTGGCCAAAGGGCACAAACTTCCAGTTACAAGATGACTAAGTTCCGAGGATCTAACGAACAGCTTGTGGACAATAGCTAACAATGTGGTATTGTATACTTGGTATATGCTAAGAGAGTAAATCTTAAGCATTCTTACCCTCCCCCCTTCCAAAAAAATCAATAAATGATATCAGGACAATTATTTAACTGTATAGTACTTAAATATATTCCAAAAGGATTAACTTAAATGTAAAATCAATAAAAAACTAGAAATAAGTATTATCATAAATTGAGAGAATGGGAATTGACTGGGAAACTGCAATGAGGGAAGGACCACTATTGCTCCTTTGCTCTCCTCCACCTGCTTCCCCATCTTCCTGTCCCTCGGCTGGGTAGAGGGCACAGCTGGAGGAAGAGGCAAAAGTCCTACTTTATTGACATCACTGTAGTATTGGCTACTGCAGTAAAAAATAAAATAAAAAGTGGCCACGTGAGGTCATGATGTATTAATTAATTTGATTATGGCAATCATTTCACAAGGTACTAGTACAGTACATATATACCATTGTACACTTTAAATATATTATAGTTGTATTTGTCAGTTTTACTTCAATAAAGCTAAAGCTGGAAAAAAAATCCCATTTCATAATTTAAAAAAGTAATCATAGGTCTTCTTTTTGATGTATTATTCTCGTACAGGAATAAGGAAAAAGTTAAAGTTCTATTCCCTGCTCCCATTAGCTTTGTTTTAATGGTGCTTATTTGTTCTAATTGGCCTCCTGGCCCACCAGATTCATTCCATATATCTGGTTATTCATTGTCTGGAATAATAATTCATGGTCTGCTAATATTTATAAATGAAGGGCTTGATTATTCAGTATGGGGAACTGATGTGGTCACTGCCTGCAATTATGTGGGCGAATGTTTGTTTTTTTCCTGATTGGTTTTACCCCGAGTGTGAGTTAGGCTGTTGGTAAGTTGGTGGTCTGATTTTTTCGGCTCTACTTCTCCTTTATGGGAGCTGTCTGCTTGTGGGCCTCTTCTTGGCTGTGATGCAGAACGAGCTGGGTGGCTACCGTTCACTCTGGGTGGCAAGTGTTCAATGATTTCAAAGTGGTAGAATTAAGCCCCTCATTAGATATTTGCTTTATGTCTATAACATTTAACATATTGTAACATTTCTTTATATAGGAATACACATGGCTTGATAAAAGCTATCATGAAATTATTACAAATGCAAGCTGTAAAGGAAGGACAAGCTGGCGAGAAGAATATTCAGGATCTATATTCTATTAGGTAAGCCTTTTTCCCTTTCTTTAAAAAACATATTTTTTTTATTGTGTGAATGGTGAGCTTATGAACTGAGACATGCTAATCCATTAAGAACAGTTATTTCAGAGCTTGAGCAAATGTACTTATAGCAGGAGGGTAAACTTCCTCACCATGAAGACGAATAGGCGACTAGCAAGGGGTTATCACCCAGGGCAAGGTCTGTAGTTATGAGCATTGATTTGCCTTTTTTTGTATTCTATAGAATGTAATCTATCGAATTATTTTAAAAAGAAAAACCACACCGCAGCATTGACAGTGAAATGCATTGGATTTTATGGGGGAGTGTGGGCAAAGGATGGCATCAGGCTTATTTGTGAAGGTGCCTTGAAGGTCCTAGGAAGCCATTTCTTGAGAGAGGAACTCCCACTTGGTGAGCAGAGGACCCCAGCGGATGCCATGTAACCAATGTGTATTGTCCTAGGAACTGTGTTTAGTGATGCATCCGGAATGTGCCTGCTTCTAAAGAATGAGAACCTGGGACCATAAACAAGGGGACTGGTTCACGGTGGAAAATGGTTCGCATGGGCTATGGCAATTCAATAGGGCAAGTAAATCCACTGGCTCTGTGACACAGATAGTGATTGTGGGGAGGGATCTGATGAGAAGCACTGCAGTACGTTTTGAATGGATTTCTCTTGGTTGACTGATCATCCTAGTAGATTTAAACCATCAGTAGGCCTTGCACACTTTCCTCTAAGGCTCACACAATTTTCATTGTATCTTAGCTACTGTTATTCCATTGAATTACTGTCGATCCTTGTATTAAAAGGCTACAGAGCAAAGGTATGGGAGGCTTCGAGTCCTCCTAAATATTGAGTTTTTTGGAAGCAAAATGAGGACTGTCTCTGATGTCTAACATCCAGATAGAAACTGAAAAAGATCTCCAACTAACTATTCCCCCCTAAATCATATAAACATATCCAGATATTTGGGAAAAAAGAAAGAAAGAAAGTAAATCAGATCCTTGTGAATCCTCATTGGCTGGAGCACACAGCACCTGCAGTTTTGAGCATTTGACACCAGCTATCAGAAGCTCTGAGAGTCTCTGAAATGTTGAGTGCTGCCTACTCACGTAGATTTACAGTGCTTTCCTTTTGAGACTGAGTCAACAGTGTCTCGTTACAATGATCGTTCCTGAAGTTTTAGTGCTATTTACGATCTCTTTTATTTTTTATGAGTACATTCAGAATTTTTTAAAGCCATTTTTTTAAAAACAAGGTCAGATTTGCATTTTACATATTTTTTTTTCTTAGCATGTTTTTGATGTCTTCAAACATATGGAAAAGTTGGAAGGATGCAGTACAATGAATTAGTAAATTCCTTAACTTATTTGTTAACTCAGTAATTTGATTTTAAATAGAAGAAGCAAAAATAAAATTATTTGCTCTATGAAAATACTGTGGAAACGGGGTGTGCACAGTAAACTTTCCAAATTGATAAATACGCTTCTCTCTTTTTAACATAGTGGTGCCTCCCGAGGCACAGGGTTTTTATTTCAGGTTTGTCCTTTACCCATTACCTTGATCAGAATTGAACCTAAGGAGTAGATGAGCAGATCTTAATATTTCTAGATGAGTCATATGAACATCTGTGTTTTTTCTCTTTTTTAAAAGAAGTTCAATCTCTTGGGCCAGAGTTTCAGGATAGAAAATGATTTCATTTCATTATTGTTCACTGAGGGTTATTTATTTTAAGATAGGAAAGCTATTGAAGTTTTTCATTTATTTTTTTATATAACAGTTTTATGACACAATTGACCCATTTAAAGCATACAGTTCTCATGGTTTTTAATATATTGATAGAAGTATGCAACCATCACCATAATCAATTCTAGGACATCTTCATCAATCCAAAAAAGAAGCGCTGGCTGGTGTGGCTGTTGGTTGAGTGTTGTTCCATGTACCCCAAAGTCGCAGGTTCAATTCCTGATGAAGGCACATGGCCAGGTTTTGGGCTCGATCCCCAGTAAGGGGCGTGCAGGAGGCAGCTGATTGATGATCTCTCTCATCAATGTTTCTCTTTCTCTAAAATCAATAAAAAGACATTAAAAAATACCTCACCCATTAGCTGTCACTCCATATTTCTGTTCACCCATTTAATTTAATGGTTCTCAACCCTGGTTGCTCATTAGAACCATCTGGGTGTGGAACATATCAAAAATCAAATACCCCAAATGAATCAGAATCTCTGCCATACGGCGTAGGCATGTGTAGTTTTAAAAAGGCCCAGGTGGTTCTGATTCACAGTGAGTACAAGGTGGTATGCAACCACTCCTTAAGGTGCATTCTGGTCACCTGGGGCCTTGTTGAATGGCAGATTCTTTCCTTAGGGCTAGAGTGGGCTCCAGATTCTTCTATGATAGGCTCCCAGGTGCTGCTGATTCCCCACCAACTATAAGTAGCAGAGCTACGGGCAGCATCCGCAGAACCTCAAGGCTTGTTGGGAGTGCAGGAGCGTGGGCTATCTGGATCTGAGTCTGCCTGCTGGTATGATTTTTCAGGTAATGTAGAGGCACCTTAAAGTTTAAGAAGCCCTGGCGTAGGTGATGGTAAAGGGAAGTTTTCTATCATGCAGAAGTGGAGTCACTCTCTTTTTTATGCTGATTGTCCTCACTGTGAGTGTTCGACCTTCAGTCATCTATAATGTTTCCCGTGTTTACTTATAATTTATATTCTCTGGTAGTTAGTTCTTCTAACTGCAGCCTTGTTTTCATAAGAGAATAGGTGCTAGGCGTGGATAGGGAGCCTGGTTTGAGGAGCTGAAAGCTTTGTTTTTAGATTGGTGGCACATTAAGAGGACCGGAATCAATCACCTGAGTTGGCATAATCCAGTAATGTTTATGGAGAGCCCTTATGTGAACGGCTGCGTGGCACTATAAATCAGCAGAGTGTAATCGAGTGACAAGAGCCGTAAGTTCCTCCAGCGGGGATTGCGGATGGCAGAAACGGAGGAGAGGTAAGCCTGAGGAGCACATTCCCCTCGAGAGAGCGGTGATTACCCGAGTCCGGCATGAACTTGCCACGCTGCTTTAGAGCCTCTTTGCCACATGTTGGTTAGCAATATCACCCAGCCTTGGAGAGGCAACGGATGCGCTGTGTTTGAAAGCATAGAAAGGATATGAGAAGCTTAGCGGTGTTCCCTGCTTATGCTGTAGGATTCATTTAAAATGGAAGTGGCATGAAACATAATTGGAAGCTTTCTGGGCTGAAACTAATCTGTTCTTAATGGTATGAAGGACTCTGCTAGTAAACATTTGGGGTTTAAGTATTTCTCACTTTTTTGTCTTAAGAGCTAACTTGAGTTGTAGTAAAACCAAATATGTGGTCATTCGAGTCTGTGCTGAGTTGCCCAGGTGGTTCTGGTTCACGGTGAGTACAAGATGGAATGCCAGCCACCCTTTAACATGCATTCCCATCACCTGGGCCTTGTTGGCTCCTGTGACACCTGGAGGAGCTCTGGAGGGGGCCTTCTCTTGGTTGAACCTGGACATCAGTGGTTCTCAAACTTCTGTGCATAAGAATCATCTAGGGAGTCTGTTAAAAGTACAGCTTCTCAAGACCACTTGCCAGAGATTCTCGTTCATCCAGTAGGTTTGGTGTGAGATTCAGCATCAGTATGTTTGTCTGGCTGGTCAGTGGTACGGATATAGGTTGCTTGTGGATCACACTTGAGAAGTGCTGCTTGAGCTCCTGGGAGCTTAATGGTACCACATATGAGCTGCCAGGAACCCTTTGGGGTAGACTAGGAAGTAGTTCTTGAGGGTTTGTGTCTCCTTGCCTCTGTTTCTTGTTTGGGAGGCAAAAAGTCTGTAATGTTCCTAAGCCCAACGGACAATAGAGAGGCCAAGAGCAGAATCAAATACTTTTTCTAAAGGAAAAGCAATCCAGTGAGAACAAGCCAAGTGCAGACAGAAGTGAGAGAATGTTAAGCGATTTAAATCCCATTGCTCTGTTCAATGAAATACTGCCATGGCCCTAACACAGCAGGGTTCTTCCTGGTCAGGTGGATGGTTGCAGGAGCAGGAGGTGAAGAGAGCCCTCAGCACCTTCCTGGAAACCACCACTGGTTTTTAGTGTTTACAGTGCAGAAGCAGCTCATACTCAGTGTTTGATATGTGTGTCTGGGACATGCCTGCAAACCTGCATTTTAATAGGAGATTTGGATGTACAGGTGGTCTACTGACCATCCTTTAGATATACTAGATCAGCGTGTGTGTAGCTAATAAAGTTCATGTTGCCTAAGTGGACCCTTCTTTAGTTTTGTGGCTTAAACAAGATTACATGGGGGATATTTAAGTAGGATTTCGACCTCCAGAGCCTTTTAGGATGAGGGTAACTGGAAGGACATACAGTACATTTGACTACTGTGGTTACATGAGGAGCATATGCCAAACATAAAATCCTAGGCCCATGAGTCTCAACCTGTAGCACATCCGAGCCCTCTGACAGATGCTGGGCTCTTCCTGGAATGACCGAGTGTCAGCGTTGGTAATTTTTCAGAGCTTCCCAGGTGGTTTCTGATGCACTGGGAGGGTTGAGAACTGCTGCCCAGTTGTTGCAGTGAGGAAATGGGGGTTCATCCTTGCCAGACCATCGGATCTTTCAGGATTAATAACATTATATATGAAATCTCCTGACTTGTAAATGTTGAGAAACAATTTAGATTTTTAAAAGTACAGGGTAAGCTAGGCCAGTGTTGCTCAGTGGTAGGGTCTCAACCTATGAACCAGGAGGTCAAGGTTCAATTCTAAGGGAAACATGCTTGCATTACAGGCTCCATCCCCAGTGTGGGGCTTGCAAGAAGGTAGCCAGTCAGTGATGCTCTCTCATTATTATTAATGTTTCTCTCTCTCCCTTCCTCTCTGAAATCAATAAAAATATTTTTTAAAAAATACAGGGTAGGCAGACAAAACACATCTACTCACAGGCAGTAAGTTTGTGACCTCTGGTTTAGGCACTTGTTTT